TGGAGATTGACCAACCAACGCTTCAGGTCCAAGGGTATACCGAGGACGAGAATGATAAGGTGCTCAGAGCAAACTTAGACCTATTGGAAGAAGCCTGAGAGCAAGCATAGATTGCCTATCAGCAACGAGTGGCTCGCTACTACAACTCCAGAGTGAAAGAAAGACACTACAAATAAATGTAATGGCCCGCTACTACAACTCAAGAAGGCTCTTGGCCCCGACACATTTCGACTGGAAAACTTAGATGGAAGACCCTTCCCTCGGACGTGGAACTCAGAGAACCTCCGGATGTATTACAGATAAATGTAATTTTTTGATGAAAGTAATGAATGAATGAAGCAAAGTTCCTCTTCAATTCACCTCATCACCTTCTCACCTCGAAATGTGGTGACCCCCTCGGCCATTTGCACTTAGCGCAAGGAAAACAACGAGGCAGAGCCCCTGGCTTCGCCGGTGGGACACCTCGGCCTCCCCCGAGAGAACACTTGGTAAGAATGAGTCAAGGGAGTAGCACCCCGCTGTATCTCTTCATCCACCCAAGTACCTCGGCGGTATACTTCGGCCCCGAACCTCAACCAAAATGACAGGTCTCTTTGGCCTCGCCTATGATAGCACGGGATTCAAGGCCAAGCGAGCTCTGCCTCGAGCGTATGACTCTGCCTCGGCTCCCAATATCCAGTCGAGATGAGCCTGCAAATAAACGAATGGTATGGCTGAATCGTATGTGCCTTGTGTATCGTGGTTAAAGCCTTTCGGAGGGGCAAGGACCTCTCACATACAAAAAAAAAAAGAAAGAGAAAAGAGAGAAGGAAAGAAACAACATACACAAAACACATTGTACACAAAAAATAGCTTCATTCACTTCATTCACTATTCAACTTTGATCTTGTATAGCTTTTACAAAATTTTGTATTGTGCTAAAAAAACAACAAAACTATTATAGCAACAAAACAAAATAAGAAGGGAGGAGCCCCGCTTGAGTACCAACCATTGTTTATGGGTCCTGGTGCAAGGCCTGGTCCACGAGGACCTCCTGGTGAGTTCGGTGACAATGAGGGAAGTCTGTGCCTACGCCTCATCATGGGCCAGAGGGGGAACAATGCTTTCAGTCGGGGGAGCCTTGGTAGGAGCATCGGGGATCACTTGCAGTCCCTCAATGTCAAAAGCTGGCAGCACCAGTAGGAGTGCCTTCTTAGTGTCCTCTATGCCGTCGAGGTAAGACGATGAAGAATACTCCTTCAATGCGTCTAGGTAGTCGGAAGACTTCTTGTACGTCTCCACTGCCTTAGTCGCTGCCTTCTTTGACTTCTCCGCCGAAGCCCTAGCTTCGGCAGCTTTCGCCTCCCCCTCGGCAGCTCTCTTTAGGGCTTTGACAGCCCTCTTCTCGACCTCGGTAGCTCATCTCTTTGCCTCCATGACGATACTCTCCAGCCTTACCTGCTCCACTTGCTCTTTGGAGAGCCCTTGCCGTGCCTCCTATAGGTGAACTTTAAGGTGGTCCCGAAGCGATTGTTCGTCCAGAAGCGCCTTGCGGAACTTCTGGTGCTTCTCCTTGGTGGTGGCGGTTACCTTCTGGAGCTTCTCCTGCGCAACCTTCTTCTCCTTCTCGGCCTTGTCGACGCGGCCCATGGCCAACCTCGTTTGGTCCCTCAAGTCGACAAAGTGTAGACAAGCCTGCCACAAAACTGATCAACGAAAACAAAAAATAAATAAAATAAACATATACACGGTGAAACATTGAAGAACATCTTACTTCGGTCAAGTGGTACAGGCCCTCGTCGTAAATAAACTTGGGGTCGCTTTGCAGAAGGCGGTAGCGATCCCTTGGTAGAATGGATCTGCTGACTAGCTCCTCGCTGACTCCCTCGTTGCGGATGGAGTCCCCCTCTTGGAGCTGCCATTGAGGGCGGAAAGTTTTGCCAGCCCCTTCGGTCCTCTCGGAGGCACCCTGTACTGATGGGGGGGGGGGGCTGACGAAGGCCCAGACGGGTGCGGACCTTCGCACCACCTCCTCGGCCTGCCAATTTGTGTTGGCAAGCTTCTACCACCTCCTCCCTCGGCGCGTCTACGACAAACCTCTTCTTTCCTGCCTCGACCCCTCCGTGGGCCTTTTCGGCGCCTCTTCCCGAGTGGTGGGCTTCTTAGGAACTTCTCCCCCAGCGGTGGGCTTCTTCAGCGCCACCACAGTCTACTTCCCCTTGGAGGGTACTTGTGAATCCCCCCTCTTTCCCGAGGCAGGGGCAACCTCGTCGTCGGGCCTCTTTAGCGTCTGTCCACCGGCCTACTTTGCCCGGGCCTTCGCCAGCAATCGCTCCTTGATGTCCATTGGCACTTCTACGAAACAACAAAAGAAAGTGGTTAGCACATCAACAAAAAGAAAAAGAAAAGAACGTGGAAGATGCACTAACTACAAAACCTTTCCTACCGAGGGGGGCTGGGCTAATCCTAGCGAAGACTAGGGGGACCTCCTCCTTCACCAACGGCTTTGCCTGGAATGTCCCCATCACATGTAGATGAGCTACTGCTGTAGCCTCGTCGTCATGGAGCAGTGGGGGACATCTCTCAATGACGATGCGGGCCTCCCCCCAGTCGGACTTGAAGCGCCAGTCCTCGGGGCAGGAGACATAGAAGAACTTGTCCTTCCACCCGTGAATGGAAGAAAGGCTGTGCACTAGCTTCCCCCTCCTCATATGGAAGTAGTACATGCCAGCCTCGGAAGCATGCTTCCTCGGCACGAACTTGGCACGGAATAGTCTCAACGTCAACTCCATGCCCCTGAGCCGAGCCCACACCATCATAACCACAATGGTCCTGAGGGCGTTCGGTACGAGCTAGATGATAGTGATGTTGTACCACTCCAACAGCTCAGAAATCAAGGTTGGGAGGGGAAACCTAAGGCCAGACTCTAAAAAATGCTGGTAGGACTGAGATATATGGAACCTCTTCGCCAGGGATTTGACCTGGCACACATCCAAGGAGCTGTCAAACTCCGAATGTGGGATGCCAACATCAGCCACCCTTCGGGCAGCACTCCTCTTACTGCTCCGACGATGAGTTCCGTGGCATCATCCTCGGAGAGAGGAGATCCCTCAGGCTCCCTTGGCAATGCAGAGGCGGCGCTTTCATGGGGAGAGTCATATCCCCAACGACTGCCTTCGGCACCCCCCGAGGTTAGCCTCTCCCTCAAAACGGCTACCTCCCGTCGATGGGGGACTACAGCTAAAGAATCTATAGAAGATAAGGGAGAGGGGGTTGCAGGAGAGCTCCCTCCTGAGATGTTCGGGAATTCATGACACTTGGGACTAGAGTCTTAAAATGACATTTTGATATTACCTAAAAAGGATGGGGTGTCCTGAAGAAAGAAAGAGGCAAAGTAGTTATGGAGACTTGGGAGTTAGGGAGTTGTGTTCACTTGAGAGCAAGGGCATCTAAGTCCAAATGGAGAAGAAAGGCCGCTAGGGCCCCTATTTAAAGGAAAATGAACAACTTGGATCTCTCTAAATCCAACGGCTAAAATCAAACCGCTCCCACCTTTCAACTGTGATGTGCCACCTAGCGCAGGCCCTCGAAAGACGAAATGACACCCAAAGCAACGGTTCAGATCAACGCAGATCCAATGGACGCGGGAGCCCCTTAGCGTAGGCCCTCGGAAGTCGAAATGACGCTCAAAGCAACGGTTCAGATCGACGTAGAACCAACGGACGTGGGAGCCTCCCGCTCCTATGAACTTGTCTCACCGCATCTCCTAGCGCATGCCCTCGGAAGGCGATACAACGTCGGGTGAACCACAAAGACTGCCCGCGGCAACCCTCCGAGCGAACCGGAAGGCCCGCTCATCACGGACCACCGGACAGACCGTGCAGCCCAGCAAACACAGGACTCTTGGGACGACTGTCCCCTGCACGGTAGCCCCCGCTAATGTGACCTGCCCCTGCAGGATATGGGGCACCCCCGCCATGCTGAGGCACCCATGTCGCTTGCCGTTTCGAGCTGAAGAGTGACGACGAGAATAATGAAGACGACGCCACTGTAGGGCGTCTCTTAGTTGACGATTCTGAAGGCATTACGGTCGCTACTCCCAATGACCGAAGCTGAAGCCTCGCTTCGATGACCACCCTTATTACGGGCAAAAGTTGAGGCCTAACCTCGGTCTCGGGAGTGGGGGGCAAGTCATGTGGGTTAGCTTGGCCTAGCCCACATAGGGCTAGAAGTTCCAACCCACTAACGTCTGCTAACGTCAGCCACAGTAGGCTTGAGCCCTGCTGCCTTTGTACGGAGCCAGTCACATAACTATTTGGCGTATCACCAGGGCCTGCAACCTGACCTCGTACGACTCTCATTCGAGGCGTTCATCTCTACCTACCACCAGCACACTCGGTATAAATAAGAGGTAACTGCCCCTGAAAAGGGGTTGGAACAGAGTAACTCCAACATTTACTCACTCATTTATTTCCTGCACCTACCTTGTCTACCTAGCATTGAAGCTGGGAGATCTGGTGCATCCGAGGACTCTCTCTTGGAGCACTCTCACACTCTCCCCGACTTCACACCTCGTATTAACTTGAGCATTGGAGACTCCGCCTCGAGTATCCATCCCGAGGCCTTTGACACTCTTTGTCTTGTAGTATCTTAGGCCACTAGGGACCTCTTCTCAACTAGCAGTCGTTGATTACCATAGTCTTTGGCTATCACAGTCTTCGAAAGTAGTACTTCGTCTCAGTTTTTTGCTATCATCTTTGGTCAATCTCTTCCGAAGCCTGAAGAATAAATTTACCTTGTTGCCCTCGGCCAAATCGCGCCGGCAACAATGTCTTTTGACATTTTGAAAATTTAGGTAAATTAACGGCAGGGATTAATTTAACACTTATACTTGCTCCAAAGTTCAGGGTAATAAAGTAATTTTCTTTTTTAAGAGTGAAAAATAATTATTAACGGATGTTCAATTTTTCATTCCGTTATGTCCCAGGCAACGTGGCAATGTTTCTCCAAAATATGTGTTATCTACATCGGTTCCGACTTCTCCTTTTTCTCCCATTCTCTCTTATTCTCTCTTCCTTTTCTTCTTCTTCCTTCTCTACTGTATTCTTCTTCTTCTTTCTCTGATTTCACGGCCGCCGTCGAACATCCAACCAGTCCGGCCACCACTCTTCCCTCCACATCTCTCTCTCCTCCTATTCTTCTTTTCTTCTTCTCGTTTTTCTTTTTCTCCTTATTTTTCCTCCTCTGCCCATCCTTCCTGCATTTCCGTCACCGTGAACACCGGCCGCCGCTCCCTCCACCCTTCTTCCTCTCCTCTCTACTAATCCTCTCGTCTCGAAGTCGAAAATCTCTAGTCTCTGGCTTTCCGCACTTTCCTAAGACAGTCGAACCCTAAAATCTCTACCGACTGTCATTCGGTCGCCGTTCCACCATCGTTGCCGCACCACCATCGCCGAAGCCAACCATTAGTTTCATTCTTTACAATTAGAGCAACTGAAGAACCCCAACCCCCACTGTCGCGTGCATCGACTCCCAACAGATTAACCTCTGCAGTTTCCAACCAGCTCGCCTCCCTGGTTCACATTCAAATCAAGTCGTCTCAGTCACTCTTACTTCAGTGAGTTTTCTTGATGTTGAAGTTATTTTGAATCTTTGATCCCGGAATCTGGATACTATAAGTCTTGCATTATTTTTTTCGAATTATTAGATTCTTTTCAGTGAGTTTTCTTAATATGATGTTTTTTCTCGATGCACATTGGTTATTCCCTAGTCTTCAGCATTGTTTGCTAGATTGTCAATAAGTAGGGCTGTTAGAGGCAAAAAGTATGGCCGGTTTGTTTGATCGTTTTTCTCAGATATTCATGGTCTGAATTGTTAGAATGAATTAGCATAATCGAGTTCAGTTCTCTCTGTAGAATTTATTAGCTCGCTTAGGTTATTAGGGCTTAATAGTATGTTTGAGTGTTTGACTTTGTTCTTTCTAATAGGTAGCGGTTGCAGAAAAAGCAATCATAAAAAGGGTTTAGTGAAGATTCTCATCTTCTTTGTTATCAAGTGGTTCTGGTTTTAGTGATGACTAAGGTTTTATATTGAATGTTCTCTTTACTTAATTGATTTATTAGTGTTCTCTTGTTTTTACTAAGATAGCTTTCTCATCTATTTATATTTGTTCTAAGTGTCTCCATGTGGACCCCACCTACTGAAACGGGAGAGGGGTGCCTGACCCCTTTCCTCTCCCATCCGATGTCTTTGGTTTGGAGTCACCATTGGACCAAATGAACCTCAAATTCAATATCTAGAGGGCCCATTACTTCCAATTTTATAAAATGATGGGTGGCGACTCCATATCAGTCCACATGAGCTGTTTTCCAATCCTCACATCTGGTTCATCAATGTTGGTCATGCAACAATTGAACCCTTTGGTCCTGGCAAACTGAAACAATTATGCACAAACTGGTGTGGAATGGGTACAGTCCTAACCTTTGGCATTTTTTGCACAAAGTGGATACCCTCAAACTGAAACTACCATTAAACAAGTAATGGCCCCTAAGTAAAGGAGAGGTCCTAAACTAAAAATAGAGACATATCAGTCCATCAGCCAACCACTCTTAACAATTAGGTTTTCTATAATCATATCTCTTAAGGAAAAAGGAGAAAGAATGGGTGAGACTATGGAAGGAAGAAATGACCCATTTTTTATTTGTAAAATTTTTTGACAGTGGTGAGACTATTTTTTTTGAATGAAGAATTATGTGGCAGCAAATTTCAAGTGAGAATGGTTATAAGTCATCAATCAAAATGAAAAAAAAAGTGAGAATGATTATCATGCTTTGATTCCCCTTTTCTCATCTGTGGTGTAATTCCTTGGCTCTGATTGTATTGCCAAATCTTCTTTCCCCTTTGCCTCTTATGTTTTAATTCAAGGATTGGAAAGCTTTCAGTTTAATTTCAAATCAGTTCGTATTTCCATTGGCAAGCTTTCAGTTTAATTTCAAATCAGTTGGTATTTTGTTTCTTCTACAATTAAATTTCAATTTATTATGACATTTCTGTGGTATATTGTGTAAATCCCTTTGTTTCTATAATAATTTGGAGTTAATGTTCTTTTGCAAATACTTTGAGGATGCATTTTGAAACTATTTAAGTATCTGTATCTGTATTTTGCATATTCAGGATAAGTGAGATTCTGCTCCTTCCTTTTGGGAGATGAAGAGAATGATCGCCCTTGGCTTTGAAGGTTCAGCTAACAAAATTGGTGTTGGTATTGTGACCCTTGATGGCGCCATCTTGTCAAACCCACGCCATACCTACATTACCCCTCCAGGTCATGGCTTCCTTCCTCGAGAGACAGCTCAACACCACCTCCAACACATTCTTCCACTCATCAAATCTGCACTAAAAACTGCCCAGATTACCCCTGATGAAATTGATTGCCTCTGCTACACGAAAGGCCCTGGGATGGGTGCTCCTCTTCAGGTTGCTGCTGTTGTCGTTCGAATCCTTTCCCAGCTCTGGAAGAAGCCAATTGTTGCTGTAAACCATTGTGTTGCACACATCGAGATGGGGAGGGTTGTAACAGGGGCCAATGATCCTGTGGTATTGTATGTTAGTGGAGGCAATACACAGGTCATTGCTTATAGTGAAGGACGTTATCGTATTTTTGGGGAGACCATTGACATTGCTGTTGGGAATTGTCTGGATAGATTTGCTAGGGTTTTAACCCTGTCCAATGATCCAAGTCCAGGATACAATATTGAGCAGGTACTAGAATAAATTGTTTCTTTCATTTTTAGGTGAAATTTAAGTTCTACTCATCTTACTGACTAATGAACTATGTAGATGTCATTATCATCATCTAAGCCTTATCCCAACTCTATGGGGTTGCCTACATGAATTCTGTTTTGCCATTCTGTTCTGTTTATTGTCCAGTGTTTTAAAAGCGCAAGGCGCAAAAAAAGTGCAAGGGCCAATTTGCGCGCCTTTTTATGAAAGGCGCAAAATTACAAAAAAAAGCTAAAAAATAAAAAAAAGTCAGAAAATTCCAAAAAATTAAAAAAATGCAAAAATGTTAAAAAAATATTAAACATAACGCTAATAAAAATATAAACTTAAATTTTAAAATAAATTATTTAAAAACCTATTATCTAAAATTAAAATACATAAACATAACATGTAAAGTGTATTCAAATGAAAATTTAAAAATAAAAGCAAACATATAAAGCATTTTCAAGCATGTAAAACCCACAATTTCTTTTTTTCCTTAATTGCATTGCTTCAAGTAGTTAATGTGATGTAAAACATATTGTATTCTTGATTTGATGAGTCGCCTTTGTAGCATGCCCCTCGAGGCAAGCCCGAACAAGTCTATGTTAGGGTCTGAAATTCTTATTTCTCACATAAAAATTAATGATTTTATAACTTTCATTGCCTTTTAAGGTGTTTTATTGCAATGAGGTGCACCTAGGACCTAGGCAAGGCGCATACCCCAAAATGCGCCTCGCCTGTGTGCCTATCACTGTTATTGCCATTAACTCTTTATAGAGGAATACTAAATGATAAAGGTCAAAGTATTCATCTTCCAGAATTCATTACATGCTATTAGATATTGGATGTGCATGAAAATACCAGACCAACTTCATCTTATAAAGTGATATTAAGTACTACCATGTCTATGGCAGCAAAGAACTGCAGTTGGGTAGGGCACCTTGGTGTTGCATACTTGCATTCTTCTTGCTTTGTACAGTACCACCAATTTTAATTAAGTTCACTTTGTTAAAACTTGTATAACTTTTGCTTTGGTTGATATGGTTTCATTTTCTGATATCAAAATAAAAGGTTGTTTTACACTTCTTTTTTTTAATGCAAAGTGTGATTTTGAGATAACCTTCAAAAGATGTACAAAGGCATACAGATTCTGTATGCTTATATACTTTCTATACTAAAGGGATCTGAAAAAAGATAATCATTATCTACAATTATCTGTTGCCAGTGATTGCAAACATGCCTATAAGATTTTGCCCAAAACACCACATCTTTTCCATCTTCCCAATGATACTTCAATTGGGTTCTGGCGATATATGAAAATTCTGCCATTATTCTCCTCCCATATGGACTAACAAATGATCATTGGAATCATCCTCCACAAGAACAATGCAAGATGTTACCCCTGTTGCTAAAACCCTTGGATGGGCAGGATACAAGCATGTCTAGGTCCTTAGTAATGGTCCATGATTTTCCAAATAAATTTAGAAAGTGCACCCAACTACTGTATGTATAGCTGTAATGTATTAACAAGTGTGGAACTGGTTCTTCATCCTGAACACAAAGGCAACTTCAATTCTCTAATACCATCCATTTGGATATGAGATGATCTATTGTGAGAATCCTTTCTAGGATTACAGTCCACATAACCATGATTTTCCAAATAAATTTAGAAAGTGCACCCAACTACGGTATGTATGCTGCAATGTATTAACAAGTGTGGAACTGGTTCTTCGTCCTGATTGCAAAGGCAACTTAAATTCTCTACTACTATCTATTTGGATATTAGATGATCTATTGTGAGAATCCTTTCTAGGATTGCGGTCCATAAAGAAAAGGTATTTTTGGCACCTTCATCCTCTGGATCCATTTCCACAATACTGTAGGCCCCCTTTAGTCAATCAGTTTGCTGTGAAAAGTGTTTACAGTAAAGCAGCCTGAATTCTCTGCAGACCACCATCTCTTATCTTGATCTGTTTGAATGTGAATGTTGTTAAGAGCTTCTAACAACATCAGGTCATGAAACTCCCAGTCCTTCCGAAATAATACACAATCCCCTCTGCATGGTTTGTAGGTGATAAGCTTTAAAAATTCATTCTCACTTGTACTGGTAGAAGCATTTAACAGAGCTAATATTTGCATACCAACAGTTATCACTAAACTGAATACTTCTATTTACAGTTTAATGGATAGGTTATAATTATTTCTATGCATTCCTGACATTTAGTAAAGCGTCCATTAATTACTTAGGAGATGAAAGAAACATCTGAAAGCTTCCATTAGTGGACTTACAGGATATTGGCAATATTTCCATCTTTTTGGTATTTGTTGATACGAGGAGTCCTTAAAGAATGGAAACATGCCAATAGAAATCAACATAGTGGGATCCTATCAGGCCATTTATTTCATGCTATATATTTGGACTACCATTACCCAATGTTTGTTCTCACTAGCTGGAGTTTTGGGAAAGGTGGATTAGATACAGACCCAATCTTGGCAGTTTGTTTCATGAATTGGCTTCTCTCAAACTCGAACCTTTTTCTTGCACTTGTTAACCATACCCAATCTTGGGTGGTTTGTTCTTTTGTTGTTAGAAATTTGCCTCCTTTCTGTCTCCTTGTTCTGCTCAGTTTAACTCAAGCACAAAGGTTTGCAAGTCCCCTTTACTGATAAAATTTGAAGATTATGTTCTTTACTTTCAGATTTTGCCTGGTTCTTGTTTCGTAACTTAAGTCACATTTCAGTTCAACTATGTAGGTTGCCTTCGAATAACCTTCTAGTTCTGGAATATGTTATGTCTTCCTTTCTGGTTGAACAATACCACAAACTTAACAATTGTATTTGGTGTTTCTTCTGGCATTAGAAAGTTTTACATTGCTGTTAATTTACTTCTGGAGCAGCTTGCAAAGAAAGGAGTTAATTTTGTAGAACTTCCTTATGTCGTTAAAGGAATGGATGTTTCTTTTAGTGGGATACTGAGCTACATGGAAGCCACTGCACCTGAGAAACTGAAGAACAACGAGTGCACTCCTGCAGATTTGTGCTACTCCTTGCAGGTAAGGTTACTTCAGATTTTTCCTCCTTTTGAATTAGATAGGTGTCTTACTAATATGCTATAGTAGTTGGCATTCTGCTGCATGAAAGTGTCATTTCAATAAACATTCTGCTATTTGCTTGTTTGCTATAGGAAACAGTATTTGCAATGCTTGTGGAGATAACTGAACGTGCCATGGCACACTGTGACAAGAAAGATGTTCTTATTGTTGGAGGTGTGGGATGCAATGAGCGGTTGCAAGAGATGATGAGAACAATGTGTTCTGAAAGGGGTGGGAATCTGTTTGCAACTGATGACAGGTACTGCATTGACAATGGGGCAATGATTGCATACACCGGTCTCCTTGCCTATGCGCATGGTGAGATGACCCCCCTAGAAGAATCTACATTCACTCAGAGGTTCCGAACTGATGATGTACAAGCAGTTTGGAGAGAGGATAAGAATTCTTCCAATATGAATGGTAAAGAGGAAGGTGAAATTCAGTGCCAGTAAGTCTTGAGGTATGACTTTTGTCATTTCGTTTTGTTTCAATTTTTGTTTTGAAATTGCTCCTTGTTTTTGAGAAGATGAAAGAGGGTTAGGTTATGAAGGAATTGCTATGCGGCTCCTATATTGCAATTCATTGTTTTCTTGGCATTTCTTTTCATATATGCACGTGCATACAGCATTGAATTGGCCTTTTCTGATGCTTTCTGCAAAAAGCATACTGAAAAGTGTTTTTCTGGGACAGTAAGTTCCCTGTTTCCCTACATAAGCCAAAATGAATTATATCTCGCAATCACCAGATGGTATTAAGGTTTTACTTGCTTTTATTCTTCAACGTGTAAAGTTTCTGCTAGAAGTAGGAAGAAGATCACCAAGATGGGTCCCTCTTTCCTTTTAACTCTTATTTTTTTGGCTTTGATAGGAGTACTCGTAATAGGACACCAGAATATCAATGCAAATGGAATCAGATGCAAAATATGCAGCTGGCTAGTGAGCTCAGTTGATTGGCCTTGTTTATTGTTCCATATGGGTCATTCTTAACCATATATCAATTAAAATTCTCAGGTTGTGCATCAAAGAAAACGAATTTAGTACATCATGTATAATTTGCTTTGTTCTGTCATTTGATAATTACTTTTATCTAGATAATATTTTTAGAATTTAAGTTGAGCAAGTATGTTTTAGTAGAATCTTGCAATAGAAATGTAGTTGTAATTGTAAAGCCGTAAAGGTGGGATTCCAAATCAGGCATGGAACCTCCCAAACTGCTCGTGGCTGGGGTTATATAATGGCAGCCTCTTCTTCCTTCTCTCCATTAAGTATTAACCATATATGAGATATGGTATTTGCATTTATCTTTTATGACTTGCATGGAATTAGGGCAAGTATCTGTTTTATATAAACATAACAACTGCCACTTAACTAGGCCTGTCAATTGGACTGGATTTGGTCCAATCCGATCCAGTCCAACATTAGTCCATACAAACTGGTTCCAATCCAGTCCAATTGAAATGCAAATAGACCGGATTGGACCCAATCCAGTCCAAACTAAATGATACTTTGAAAATTACATGAAAGCCCAGGAAATATAAAAATTGCAGAAATATATTATTAAAAAAGTCAGAAAATATAAAAATGTGCAGAAAAAAAACCTACATTAAAACTGTATCAAGAATTATACAGTTGTTGTATATGCAAGTATATTATACAGTTATGCAGTAATGTCTACTACTGAATTACAGAGAAATTGCAGATCTACTACTTAATTGAGTGCAGTAATGCCTTGTTTGATAAATTGCAGATTTACTATTGTTGAATTGGATCATTAAACACCATCAGTGTTAAATCACACTAATAAAAAATCAAAAATATTTGTCACCATCAAGTTGATCTTAAACATCCCTTTTCTTTCACAAAAAGAAGACCAGCCCATATCACCTTCAGCTTCACTTAAGTAGAACGTTCAGATTTTCTGCAATAACTAGCACCTGCAGCACATAAAACACTTTGATCAGTTCTAATAACAAATCCATAAGACACAAATTATCACCTTTTATGTCACCATATAACCTGCAATGGTCAGTTACTTTTTTTGAGCTCAATAGTTAAAACTCTGACAAATTAAAAAACTCATTTACAATTATTGTTTCTCTACAAGTTTCTGCTTCAATTTTTGGTTAGAAGAGAACAAGTCAGTGCTGAACCTAGGGGTGGCTGGAAGCCTGGAAGTTCATACTGGAAAGAGTACAAAGAGGCATGTCCCATGGATTGGAGATGTCAATCTAGTTATGTATACTTACAGTAAAGTGGGCTCTTTTAAGTCCTGTTCCAGTAGGAACGTGTATTTGTGATAGAGATAATTATTTTGATTAGGGTTTGTTTAAGAGAGAAGAGGAGAAAGAGAAAAGGAAGAAAAACAGAAAAAGAATGTTGTTTGTAACTCTCCCCCAGTTGTACTAATAAGGTTTCTGATTTCTAAATGAAGCAAAATTATAATGCAACACAAACACTTCCAATTAATATATGCCTTTACCCAATCAAGGTACCTCCCATCACTGCACAACCAGCCACAGAATAATCCTTACATTCAGGTAGTCTTATTGGATTGGATTGGATCGGTCCAATCCACTATCTTATTGGACTGTTCAACCTGGACCAGATTGGATTGGCCCAATCCACTATCTTATTGGACTGTTCAATCTGGACTCCATGACTGTTCAACATGTTCAACCTGGACCAGATTGGACTGGTCCAATCCATTGTCTTATTGTACTGTTCAACCTGGACCGGGTTGGACTACTCCAATCCATTGCCTTGTTGGACTGTTCAATCCATTGAGAGAGATTAAACTTAACAAATAAGTATGGTAATTGTGGAATAGTAATTCCATAGGACAATGAGATTGTTTACAAATAGGGATGTCAATGGATTGGATATTGGTCCATACTGATGGACCAAATCCATTAGGTTTGGACTGATCCAATTCAACATTATCTTATTGGACCATCCAACCCATCCAAATTGGTTTTGATTCGGATAATGTCCAACCAAAACCATAAAAACACATTAGCCTCAACATCTCTTTATTGTCATAAAACTAGAGCTGCAGTTAAGCACTTAAGCCTACTAAACTAGAGCTGATTTTGTTTTTATCAACAGGAACGAGATTAGTTATAAATTGCAGATTATGTAAGCTTTTTAGAATTTTTCAATGTCCCCCCTGCCTTGGTTGACCCCAGCATAAACTTCCCCTTGAAATATCTAACCTTCTAAGGAGTCAGCAGTGCTAATTGCTGACCTGTGCACCACCTGAATAAGAAACTCAAATTGGATCCCAATGTTCTTGCATGTCTTACTAAAAACTGCAAGGTCCATGGTACTTTCCCAATTTTCAAACAGTTTACCACCAGTTTTCAATCTCCCTCTACTTGCATCTCTGCCCAGCCAGATATTTATGTAAATATTAGCTATTCCAGTGTTGTAAGTTGTAATCAAGCATGAGATCAGTAAAGCTCATGGAGTATCAGGTGATCAATTGAACATTTTTTGATCATCTGAGACTAATACTCAATGTAATCAAGCATAAGATCATTAGCCAGATTCCTATTATTAGTGACAAAAGTACTCTGGTTGAATCCATGATTACCTAATTTCCAGAGTTGACAACCTGAGCCAGACCCTATTCTTATCTGTCTAGGATGTAGACGAGGTACCTGTAAATGAGAGAAGGGTGTGGGTTTGATGGTGGGAATCCCACCGTGGGATTGGTGACTGCTACTTACAGTCCTGTAAAATTTATGCACTCTGTTAAATTAACTTGATTTACACACTCCACCTTGCAATCGGAATATATTTACTGAATTACTTTTCATCGTTCAGGAAATTCTAAGAAAATGTCTAATTTATGTCTTATTCTAGAATTAAAAAGCAGAGGAGTAAATGTGTTTGGAAGATCCTATCTTGATGAAAATATCCCATTCTGATGTTGGCATTGAAAATTATATGAACAGAGCAATTCTACAGGATACATTTTCTTTTATGAACAGAGCAACTCTACAGTATATAAAATAGAGCATTCAAAAACTAGATTTGGTTCCATTGAAACCTGTTAAGTTTTCCACTTTCCCCAGTTTAGGAACAAAAGCTGAAACGAAAACCAAAAACAAACAAAAACTACAGTGCTTGGAATGATAGAGAAGAGAAAATACCTGAACGAGTGAGGAGTCTACCGTTGGATAGAGAGAGAGGCAAGATAGATAATTGCAGGAGAGATCGGGGAGTGACGCTGGTCGTCGGATAACAATAGAATGATGGAACAATGACCACCGTTGCTATTCGCAAGAGTGAGGGAAAGAGCGAGAGAAAATAGCTAAATATAAATCATCTTCGGAGAGAGAAGAATGCCACCGGGATTTCCGCTGGACAGAAACTTTCTCGGTTTTATGAACAGAACAACTCTCGCCGGAGGGAGCGGTGGAGGTGTAGAGTCCTAGGTCTTCGAACAAAATATTTGAAGAGCTCCAAACAAAAGGGAACTGGACCTTTCGATTCAGCGGTTTGGTCTAAATTCGGTCTGCTTTATATATGGACCACTTAAATTTGGATTGGTCTGAGTCTATGCAATTATTTGGACCATCCAATCCGTTGATAACACTTTCGGATTGGATGGGGTCCAACCCGAAACTGGCCAATTGACACCCCTACACTTAACAATTGCCTTTGCAACTGCCACTTAACCTTATCTGCATTGTCGCATTTAACAACTACCATTGCACGGATATACTGTGTTGATAAAACTTCAATAATTTTCTTGGTAAATATGGAAGTTCAACCTTAACCTTGGCACAAATGGAAACCTGAATTTCTCATGACCTTATGTAGTAATAAAAATTTATGCCTAAGTTTACAGAATTGGGATCAAGGATTAAAGTATTGGTATTGGGTTTCGTATCGGATAATTTGGATATGGATACACTTGGGAAATGTATGGATACGAATGAAAAATATGAAAATACTTGGATACGCTAAGGAAATGCATATAAATCCAATAATTATATTAATAACTTCAAGTTTAATGTCAAAATAATGTATAAATACATAAGAATTGTATATTTTAATGGTATATTTGAAGAAATATATTATTATTGATATAATGGGATGCATAGATATTATACAATTTTATTGATAATGCATCAATTTTTATTTTTATTAAAATCCAAGGCACAAAAAGTATGCAACCATTATATTTGAATTATTATATCAATTCTTTTTATTTTACTATTTCAATTTTTAACATCAACAAAAAACCAACTAAAAATTAATTTGCAAATGTTTAGTAAATAATATTTTCACTTTTGTAAACTATAAATATATTTATATAAAATGTAAATGAAATTTTGAAGATGTATATCATATGAAAAATCATAAATTTTAATTACAAAAATAATTATTTATTATTAATATTTTTATTTTTATGAAAATTTTAAAATAAAAAATTAGTTTTTATTTAAATGTAGATTAGTGGATTTGACAGATTCAGTGTATATTATATTCTCAAATATTTTGTAAACAATATTTTATCTTTGTAATAATAAATACATTCTTATTTAATGCAATTGAAATATTAATTAATAATTTATAAAATGATTATTATAATTTATCAAGTCTACATAAATAATTTTAAGTATTAAAATAATTACTTTATTAATAATATTTTTATTTGTATAAATATGTTGAAATTAAAAATCATTTATATATATGTGGATTTGATAAATTATTTATTTTATTGGTTTATAAAATAATATTTTGAATATTATTCTTGTTAATTTGTACATGGAGTTATTGAATATATTATTTGTTTAGATTAAATGTAATAAAAGATAATTTATTTCATTTATTATTATGAAGTGAAAGGCGGCTTGATGGTTAACACACTTGTGCACTTGGATGTTGTGCGACTCGGGTTTTGGGGATTGAATCACGTTAAAAGCGTTTTTTCTCGTGAAGGCTATGAAACACTTGTGCAATATGCGGGTTCGATACGTTTCTATATCGGTGTGTATCAACCGACACGCTGCGATACTTATACGGGGTGTATCGTGTTGATTTTTTAATCCTTGGTTGGGATAAGGCTTAGGTGATTGATGTGATGATGATGATGCATAAATGTATACTGTTCATGTAACCACACCTACTGCTTATGAAAATCGGCACACCATGATCACGTTATAGGGGTGTTTGTTCAGTTGGTTTAATTACAAAACTTAACTGTCACTTTGGTTTATCCTTTATCATGGACCAAACTGAATTGACTTAAGCTGTTAAGCAATTGAACTGAACTGAACCAAACCCTTTTCAAATTGATCCGTTTGGTTCTTAAATCGGTTTAGGCCAATGTTGGCCAGGTTGTAAAGGTTCCTTCGTGTAGATGTAATTTGTAAAGGCTCGATAAAGTCAGCTTACAACAGTATCTGTTTGGCATTGTTGTCGTTGCTTCAGAAAATGGCATTACATCAGTGCCACGTTGGAAAAAAATGGTGCTCCAAAAAACAGGCGTTTGTTTGGAACTGCTTTTCCATGAAAAATGGTGCTCTAAGTTATGCTTTTGAAATTAGGAAGGCATGGCTTTGAGCAACGCCGAATTTGACATTTTCTAGAGCTGCAGCTTGTTGATGCCAACAGAAATATGAGGTGTCACTGGATAATGAGTACCAGTGCTGAAAACGTTTCCTGATGCATTGGTATCAAATAGAAAAAGTTACTGTTGCTTTAGGAAACATACTACCTGGCAGCAATGGTTTCAAATAATAATAAAAAAAAAGACCGTTTTCTAAAAAAACAATGCTTCTAATCTACATATCAGCAGCACTGTTTTTTCATATTTGCAGCATTGATGGACATATACTACACAAATACATTTAAGCTTGGTTTATATAAGATCAAAAGAAAATGCGAAAAGAAATCAGAGGAAACAAAGAGATGTCTGTTTGACAGATTGCCTCTAAAATCAACGCATTAAAACCCAGGAATACAAGGATGCTAATGTGTTGGTTGCACTGCATTGAAGCCTTGATATTTTGAACCCCTTTAATTAACTTGGAGGCATAAGGGTATCTTAATTGATAGCATTCGATACTCCATGAACTAGATAAGAGTAGCATATTGAAAACTGAGCAACAGAAGTGAAATTATTTAAATATTGGGCGGTTAACAAATATTCAACCCCTAATCATTAAAATGATTAACAACACAAGCAAAAATTAAATTTTGTTGTAGAACTAATTACATACATTCATCTTCCTCTCATTGTTTCAATGGTATAGATCTAACCTTCTGCATTATCAAACTCTAGTGGAACAAGCTGGAATGGAAGAAATGAAACCCTAATTCCACTATTTCAGAACTTACCAATGATTTTTATATGAACCAAAAAACTTCACATCGAAAGTCAAAGTTTATCACATACCATTTATTGCTATTTCTACCTATCATTTCCTTCCACCAAGGTTTTAAAAACCGACTCAGAATCGGAATCGTTTTGACCACCGGTTTCTGAGTTGATGATTTGGCCGTTTGCTTCGAACGGATGCTCCATTTAAAAAAAAAAATAAAAACAATTAAAATTAAAAAATGGCCAAAATTATTGAATGGATTGATGGTTTGACCGCCCAGATTAGCGGGTTGTGGATTAATTCAACAGTTTTTTTATTAAAGATGGAATTTGGGATAAAACAGAACCGGTTGCTTGAATGGTTTCTAGGTCGAATGGTTTGACCGTCTGAATCAATAACGATTTGAAAACGTTGCCATTCACCATTTGATCTATCACTAACTTCATAGGCTATAGAGACGACACAAAATTTCGGGATGGTAACAGCTTTACCGTAGTCATCTTGGACTCTTAATGATTTATAGTTAACAATCGTCTATGCCTTTGCTTTCTTAAACTCTGATTCACTCTCCATATTAGGCTGTTAGCCACTTCAGCGACAGGTAGTGTGCATGGCCAGCGAATTCTCACTCTATATCAGGCTTAGCCGCTCAAGGATTTAGGGTTATAGATATGAGATAAAAAGTGATAAAAAAGAGGGGAACGGATAAGAAAGAGGGACTTGAGGATTTCAAATAATCCTAACACTACTTGTTCCCTTAATACCTTATGATGTATTGAGTTTCTCGATTTTGAATACCTTAAGTTGATTCAGTTTTTGATTCGTAGTATCGATACAATATGATTAATCACTTGAGAATGAATGCAATGGTATTCACTAAAATGGTTTTAGAATAAGAAACCCTAATCGGCTTAGGCTATTTGCAGGAGCTCTTAGATACATATTCAAGACTAATCAACCTATGCTAAAGACCGATTAAACGTTCAAGCATTCATAGATTGATTATCAAAGATAAATGTTCAGTTGAGTTCATGAAACCTCATTCAAACCTGAACCAGATTGCACCTTTATTGTTGGAGAAGTGAGAAATAGTGAAGAAGAAAATGGAGACACCTCGACTTATATACGTTCAACTCTTCCCAAGCCTATAAGCTGTCCCCAAGGTCATCATCAAGAATTTCCTCCATTAACCAGTTGGACTTAACAGTGCCAACAAAATCATATACATCACACCAAATAGTTGTTGAGGGTCGTATCCAAATCCTTATACTTTTCTTTTGGCTCCAAGGGTTACACAATGGAGAGTAGCCCATCCCCCAACCTAGGTGCAGGCGAGATTCAATCCCAAGTTTCCACTACAACCAGCAGGAGATCTTACCAACGAGCCGGTTGGCATCTTGTTCCAGATCCTTATATTAAACTTTTGCCTTAATTCCCACCTAGAAGATTCGATACTTCACCTCCACCTTCCCTTCTAGAAGATTTGACGCATGAAGCGCACCTCTACTTTCTCTCCTAGAAGACTTGATGCACCATTGATAGCCTTCATAGGTCCTATCTAAACCCTCTACACAGATGGTCTTCATAGGTTCTATATAAAGCTTTCTCACAACCAACAAGAACACCCCATGTTCTTGTTATTCCCCTAAACAATTCTCTTGACACATTACATCCCTTGAGACATCTCTCCTTAAACAACAAAGCACACATACAACTTAAACTATTCAAGCTCAAAGTGGAGTAAAGCTAATTAACGTATTCTCAGTGGGGATGTCTATACTAGTTTTGGGATGAGTCTAGTTGAGAATATATCAAGTTATGATATGACCATTTCGAATTTCCTCCTCTCTTTTTTTACCAGTTTCACTTTGTTTTTTTGGCTCTTTGCATAATCCCCCATCCCAATTTCATTTTTGGAAGTCAAAGCCTTGTATACCAACGAGCTCTAGTGTTCAAGAGAAAAAGTCCCTTTCTCTCTAACATTCCATTTTCTTGAAATACACGCCCTTGCCAATTCGAGTTTAGTCTAGATAAGAATATATAAAAGGTTTTGCTTATCTAGACTTATGCTTATAAAGTTCTATATAACCATTTTTTTTACAGGAATAGCACGTAGCTTGCATTTGTGGGATTTCATACTTTACCATTTGTGAGATCATTACTTTGTCTCAGCAAAAGTTAATACCACTTTTGCCTATAAAACAAAAATCTTTATCTACTTTTCAAATTTGTCATTAATGAGAGATAAACTTGTCTCCCCTAGACAATTTTTTTTTTCCTTATTGCATGTAAGACAAAATATGCTTCTTTTTGGACTTTCACGAATGTGGTAAACTAGCTATTTTCTTTAAACGTGAAATGCAATCTTGCCTTTTTTTCCCAAGTAGAAGTTTCTTCTCTTACAGGAAAAGGCCCTTCTCAAACGAATAAAGCAATTAATGACCATTTGAATGGTGGAAATCAAATTCAAAGATCATATGGATGTTGGATATGTATAGCTTAGGTACAACCGTACAAGAGGCATCCCTACATCTCTATGTGCCATCTCTTGCATTTGATAGATTTTCCAATCATTAGATTCATTGGCCAAGTTGCAGGAGCTATCTCATGTCTCATGACCAATCAGGAGATGTCCCTTAGGCTGTGTTTGGTTTGAAGGAAAAAGTACAGAAACCTTTACAAACCTTGTATAGGTTTCTCTACCTTTCCCTACCTTTTCCTTCAAACCAAAGATAGCTTTAGGGTGAAATTGACCTGAACCAATTTTAATCACTTAACCACGCTGATGCTATAAAGCCAAGTTTTAATCACTCCCCATGTTTTTGCTTTATGAGGCCTCTCAAAGATTTCAGCTTTAATGATCTCACTCTTAGAACTAATATTGATGTGACTCACGTTTGTGCATTAGACTCATAATTGAGTTAGTGAAAACTAGTTTAAAATAATATTACGATCTTCGAAATATTAAAAAATAATGTCAAGTTAATAAGTACAAATTATTCTTAATATTTATTATCAAGGGAATTATTTCAAGAGGATGTGCACATAAAGTATAAATTATAACTCCCCAAAACATATGATCAAATTAGAAATTACAGATAAGTAGACAAAAATCACTTTACTAATCTTCGAAGAGGAAAGGAAGTCTAGTTAAAAGTCAATTCCTGCCTTTTGGTTTTTAGAATCCTTAAATAGCCATGAGAGCTCGTTTCTAAGTGAAAAGAGGTAACAATGAACAAACACCATAAAGAAAAGTGCCAAGGGGAATGGAGAGTGAAATAGATTCTAGAGTATAGATTGCTGGCACTGAAGTTGTTAATGTTTTGAAAAGCAAAATCACACACATTGGGCGACAATAATTATGGACAATATGTAGGCAAATACATATAGGTAATTGAAGATACAGGTTGACAAGATTCCCCCATAGAACTTTAAATATAACGGAACCCATAAGAACCAGAATAATTACAACTAAAATATGCACTCAAAGTAGTTAAGTTACAACTTTACATGATATTGAAGTAGTGCAGTTACATGGTTCCAGGAACTAGAGGGCAGGCATGGCTTGACTGTCCCAAAGACCAGACCATCCAAGATATACATTGCCTTTTGGCTACCCGGAATATCTATAGTTCTCACTTTTCAGATTCAATCTCTTTTACACTGTCAACTATGTGCTGGATTTTCTTTGACAGGTTTTGGGTGTGCTCCTCTATGTGCTTGAAAATCAGCTCGAGATGTCTTTTGTATGCTGCAGATCGTCGTCGCTCAAGGAGTAACTGCTGGGATAGATCTCGAATCCTTTCATGTTCATTCTATAGAGTAAAAGGAAGAAAAATCATGAAAGGAAAAACAAAACAAAAAAAAAAGTAAAGCATAAAAATACAAGTGTCAAAGAACTGTAGCTGTACAAATGAAGTTCCTATGATTCTAGTTCGAAACATGGAAGGTTGGCCTCAAGATTCCTAGCAGAATATATGCTAGAGAAACACATTAATTTAAAGGGCAATTACTAGTGTTTGTCCCAGATATCCAGGGTCATGAATGGGGTGGAGTGATACAGACCTAACCTTTGGCATTTTTTACACAAAAAGCCACTCAGACTAAAACATCTCTTCTAATGTTTTATCAGCCTGAGATTTTACCATTGCACCAAGCAATAGATAAGCACAATTCTATAATAAATTTATTGTACTGCCTCAAGGGCATGTTCATCTTTTCCTATTTGTAATTTTGTACATAGTGGACAACATGTGTAGTGGAATTCCTTATCATAATCAACAAAAGTATAATTTTTGTTTCCCGCAATACGTTAGAATTTATCTTTAGCTCACTATTATCTTATCTCATCAGTCTATGGTCCCCATGACTCAGATGAGACTTTTTGTGGTGGAGGAGCTTGATTATATCGGATGGAGATGGAGTTCCCCCTTGATCGTTGGTGGGAACATTAATGTTAGCAGAATGCTGAATGAGAAGACAAAATATCTTTTTAGATGACTGGATTTTTCTGATTATATTCACGAGAATGAAGTAATTGAACCTATTCTAAGAGTTGTTACACATGGTCAAATTGGTTAGATTCTTTTTCTCCCTAGATGGAAGTGAACATTTCCACGATGGAAGTTAGCATTTCCAAAATTTATAGGGAGCTCTGATATATCAACTTTTTGACCACTGTTCAATTATTCTTAGATTGAACTGTCATTAATCAGTTTACTTATCAATACCACCATTCTTGGACTCCCCCAGGCCATTTGAATTTGAAAACATGTCACATGGCATGGAAAAGGAATTTGGAGACAGAAAGGCTCTTAAATCTTTTGATGGGGGCAAATCTCCAGGCCCTCATGGCTTTAATATGAGATTCCTCATAGATGGTTAGTCTTCTTTAAGGAAGATATCCTCAAGGGATTTGCTAACTTCTGTGAAAAGAAGAGGTGGAATCTGGCATCTGGTTCTACTTTAATTCCTAAAAATAGACCGGGGAGGGGGTGTGAAGTCAAAGCTCTATTCAATAAGCTTGATTAGTAATGTTCACAAATAAAGTGTGAAGAACCCAAAGCATGCCAATCTGTCAAAGTCGGGGACGGGGAGTGAAGTCAAAGTTCTATAATTAAGGGCATAATTGTGAAGAACCCAAAACATACCAACCTGTCACCAGTGATGTTACAATTATGGAGAAGAAAAGAAAAAAAACTGTATGTAGTTAAGTTTCTTTCAGGAATCAAACCTGAGTACGAATCAATGAGAACTCAAATTTTGGGCAGTCCAGAGTTACCTGACTTGGAGGATGTATTTTTCTAGACCTCAGAGGGCCAAGCTGTCTGAAATCCACCCAATCATCTGATTGAGCAAGACTGGTTGTATCCAAAGAATCAACCTTAGTCACATAATTTTTGTCATTCTAGCATGGGCTATCCAACATTCTTAATTTGTAGCATGCCAAATACAACCTTAGCAGCTAAGACATTTCAATCTAGGGGCATACCAAAAAGGACATGAATTGAAATAGTAAAAAATTATTTAAGGGCTCATGATTTAACAACGGCCATGGCACTGAATTTAATGAAATGGTGAAACATGATTCGTGGAGCCAATGCCATATTGTTGGGACAAGGCTTATATGATGACAATGATAATGATGCATCTTCACATCCATGCACAAAACATCTTATATAGATAAAAAATTCCCAAGCATTCTAATGACTGCTATAAAGCTTCTAGAAAGAAAGATTACAGGATATCATTTTATTCTTCAAGCCAAAATTGACATAAAAGAAAGACTTCAAGTTCAGCTTGACAGTAGGAGAGCAAAATAACTAAAACACGGTCAACCAATTGGTCCCTAGAAGCTCATGCAATTTCTCCTTACGAGCTTTCCTGAGGTAAAAAGGAAAAAAATGAAGTTCTGTGTTTTGTGCCCATGGATCGAATATCATCAAAAACACCAATTTAAAACTGTAATTATCTTTCGTGCTGCTGGAGCCATTGACTCATAATTGTCAACTTTATACAATTTACCACACAATTCACTATTCAAATCATGAATCTAAAGGGTTTCAATTTGAATTTTACATATAATCCTCTTTTGGAAATAATTTATAATTATTTTTAAATCTTATGATTCAATTCATGTAAGTTGAATTAATACAATACAATTAGGATGTGATTCTCCACTTTTTTTTTTGAAGAAGAACTAAGGCATTGTATTAAAAACAGAAAGAAGGATATAAGTATAACATCCCATGCCATTGGAAATATCCAAATAAAAGAAACGAAGATGCTGATCACAAAAAGAGAAAGTGTGTATTAAAAAAAAAAAAGATGTGTAAGGCACTTCCTGAAATGGTTTTTGAATTGATAGCCAGGAACATAGGGTTCCTTATAAATGTCCAAGCACAGCATCGTCTGAGCTTGCCTTGTTTTCAAATAAACGGGAAATTCTTTCATTCCAAATGATCCAAATTATTGCAGAAGGGAAAATTTTCCAAAAAAGCTTACCTCTGCTACTGAGACCACTAATGAACCAGCTTCTGAAGAGAGACTCAACAGATTGAGTACACAAACTTAGCCCCAAAATTTGATGGATGGAAGTCCAGATATTATAATTGAAGTTGCAATGAGAAGGATGTGGTCCACAAATTCCAAAGTTTCATTATAAAATAAGCATGATATGCTGACTAAGTTCATCCCTCGTCTGGTAAGATTTTCTCTGGTTAGACATCTTCCTAAAGCTGCATATCATGTAAGAAAAGCCACATTTTAAGGAACACAAGGTACCCAAATTCTTGCACTAGGGAAGCAGTCAACCAATGAGGAGCATAATTCTCTGTATAAGGATTTCACAGAGAATAAACCTGATTGTTATAAGCCCAGACCCTGGTATCAGCATGGTTGGGAGATGGGATCACTTGCTGAATCTTCCATAGATGAAGTGGATTTCCCAATTATTTAAGTTTCTCCTAAACTTGGGGCACCAAGTTATGGAGTTGTTACGAGTTTCATAATGTTCCACCACTAATGCATCCATATTATGAGCAGATGAGTATATATCAGGGAAAGAATCTTTCAAAGGAATGTTATTACACTACAAATCTGTCCAGAATTTAATTATGTCACCTTTACCAACCTTGTATTTGATTCATTTTAGGAGCACTGTTGTCACCTTCACAATATTCTTCCATAGAGCTCAACTACAAGGAAAAGGGGATTCACCCGGATCCCAGCCCATGTTTATAGTGTCATATTTGCCAATAATAACCTGTCTCCACAGGCTGTTTGGCTCTAGATTGAATCTCCAAAGCCATTTTTCCAGGAGGACTGGTACTCCACTTTATAATTTATTATCTTGTTCTTTTTTTTTTTGTTTTCTAGATAAATATACTGTATATGTATAAGCATTCAATGCTTAAGTATATGAAAAAAAGGTTTTGTTTTTACATCTTGTTCTTTTTTTTTGCAAGGGGGCTTTTATTATAAAACCCTTACTAGACCTATTTAGAAACCTTATTAAGTTATCTAAGACCTTCTACTTATTATTGCATGAAAGAACTGAAAAGTGAAGCACATTTAGCTGTTTTTCATCAGGTTTTAAAAAGGAAAAAGAAAAAGAGAAAAGAAAACAAGAATTCACCTAAATCCTCTAATAATGCAAGAGTTCTAAGTTCATTCCAAAAATTTTCAGATAGGAATCAATTTTGCCTCCAGTATATACTAGGAACGTAATGATTTTAAGTCTAGAGTGCAGATAGCAGTGAAGATGAAATATGGGTTACAACTTTCCACGAATAACAGACTCTGTTGCATGTGTTGGGATGCACATGCTAGTAGGTGTATGGAATGAGGAATGAAAGAGAGTCCCACATTGGAAAGACACAAGAAGTGCAAAAGACTTATATACAAGAGTGGCCCATAACTCAGTAGCTTATGCTTTTGGGTTGTAAGTGGTGCCCATCTCTTGTGTACAAGTCTTCTGCGCGTGTACGTGTATGAAGCCCCCGGTTTTGGCAACTCCTCATGGTTCGTGACCCCCCTCGAGCCCCAACAAATGGTATCGGAGCAAGGTTATTAAATCTGTTAAGTACTTACGATGGCGAAGATGTCAACTATAAAGTTTGAGGTGGAGAAATTTGAGGGCAAGATGAATTTTGGGTTGTGGCAAAAGAGGGTGAAGGCAGTTCTGGTACAACAAGGTCTTCACAAGGCTCTTCTCGGAAAGGAAAAGGCAGAGACGATGACAAGTGATGAGTGGGCTGAGTTAGATCTGAAGGCATTGAGCATGATTCAGTTATACTTAGCAGATGAAGTGATGTACAACGTACTCATGAGGAAACCACCATTGGCTTGTGGACAAAGTTGGAGAAATTGTATATGACAAAATCTTTCACCAATAAGTTGTACCTGAAGAGGCAATTATACAGTTTGCGTATGGCCGATGGAACCAATTTATTGGATCATTTGAATACATTCAATCGGTTGATTGCACAACTTCTCAATGTAGATGTGAAGATTGATGAAGAAGATAAGGCGATTCTTCTCCTCTCATCTCTCCTAGAATCGTATGACCATTTGGTGATGACCATCTTGTATGGAAAGGATATGTTGGTGATGGATGAGGTCACAAGTACTTTGCTGTCAAACGAGATGCGGCGAAAGCCTACCTTTAGTGATAGTGAAAGTTTGATTGCAAAGGATTCGGGTTATGAACGGGGCAGATCTAAAGAGAGGGGAAATAAGAAGAATAGAGGCAGATCAAAGTCCAAATTGAAGAAAACACAATGCAAGTGGTGCAAGAAAGATGGTCACTGGCTAAAGGATTGCAAGAAATTTGCAGAGGCTCAAAAAAAGAAAGGAAAAGTTGTAGATGAGGCAAGTGTTGCTTCCGATACAGAGAATGATGGAAATCTTCTTATGGTCTCCTCAGGTATGGATCCCTTGGATACTTGGATACTTGATTCTGGATGTTCTTATCATATGCCTCCTTATAGAGATTGGTTTTCTACATATGAGTCACATGTTGGCAGCACAGTTCTTATGGGAAATAATGCCAAGTGTAAAATTGTTGGGATTGGGACAATTAAAATCAAGATGTTTGATGGGATTGTTAGAACATTAACAAATGTTAGACATGTCCCAGATCTTAAGAAAAGTTTAGTCTTACTTAGTGCTTTAGATGATCTTGGGTGTACATATAGTGGGGCTGATAGAGTCATAAAAGTTAAAAGGGGTGCCATGGTTGTCATGAAAGGAGAGAAAAAAGGATCATTATATAGGTTAATTGGAAAACTATCATTGGGGATGCAACTGTCACATCCACTTTAGATGATGATTCTAGTCAATTATGGCATTTGAGATTGGCACACATTAGCGAGAGAGGCATGATAGAACTGCACAAAAATAAATTAAATGATGATGTTAAATCTTGCAAGTTAGATTTATGCAAATATTGCATTTTTGGAAAGCAATGTAGAGTCAGTTTTATAGCAACTACTAAAAGAAGCAAGGAGATTCTTGAGTATGTACATGCAGATACATGGGGTTCATTGCCAGTGACTTCTAGTGGTGGAGCACAATATTTGTTAGCTTTGTTGATGATTATTCCAAAAAGGTTTGGGTGTACTTCATGAAGCATAAATCTGAAGCTTTTGAGAAGTTCAAGATTTGGAAGGCAAAAGTGGAGAAACAAACTGAAAAGCAGATAAAATACCTATGGACAGATAATGGTGGAGAGTTTACCTCTATAGAGTTTCAAAAATTTTGTGCAGCAAAAGGGATTACTCAACAACTTACTACTCCAGGCACACCACAGCAAAGCGGGGTAGTAGAAAGAATGAACAGGACACTACTTGAAAAGGCAAGGTGCATGAGAATCTTTGCAGATTTACCAAAGTAGTTTTGGGTTGAGGTAGTTAATATGGCCTGTTATGTGGCAAACAGATCACCTTCCAAAGCATTGGGACTCAAGACAGCAAAAGAGGTATGGACTGGTAATTCTGTTGATTACTCAAATTTGAGAATTTTTAAATGCCCTTGTTATGTCCTGTTGCAGGATAGAAAGAGGACAAAGCTTGATGCTAAGTCAAAACCTTGCATTTTTCTGGGATACAATGAAGGGGTGAAAGGATTCAGACTTTGGAATCCTAACACCAAGAAGGTTGAGATAAGTAGAGATGCTATATTCGATGAAGCTTCTATGTTGAAGAAAAATCAGCAACAAATCCGAGATGGTGAGAAGAGCAGTACCTTAATTCAAGTGGAGCTAAGTAGGAAGAGAAAATGGGTAGTGAACCAATCGCTACACAGATTCTTCTCATCAAAGCCAAGAAGTTGCACAATCCCAAGAGGAACCACCATATTCCATTGCTACAAGCAGGGCTAAAATGAACATCAAGAGACCAGTAAGATTTGATGATACAGTTGCATATGTATTAACAGCTAATTGTGATGATCCAATGACTTACAAGGAGACAATGAAAGATAAGGACAGCTCACTATGGATGGGTGCTATGAAAGAGGAGATGTCTTCTCTTTGGAAGAATGAAATTTGGAAGTTAATAGAATTGCCTAAGGGTAAGAAGGCTATTGGGTGCAAGTGGGTGTACAGAAAGAAAGAGGCTTCATCTGCAAGCGAACCACTTAGGTACAATACAAGGTTAGTAGCAAAGGGTATGCACAAAAGGAAGGAGTGGATTTCAATGATATTTTTTCTCCTATAGTGAAACACTGTTCCATTAGAATCATGTTGGCAATGGTAGCTATGTGGGATATGGAGTTGGAGCAGCTTAATGTGAAGACAACTTTCCTCCACGAGAGCTTAGAAGAGGAAATTTACATGGTGCGTCCTGATGGGTTTGTCGAGAAAGGCAAAGAACAACTGGTATGCAAGTTGAATAGGTTGCTCTATGGCCTTAAGCAAGCATCGAGGCAATGGTACAAGCGCTTTGACACTTTTATGACTTCACATAGCTACATTAGAAGTACGACAATTGTGTTTATTTCCGTTTCCTTCATGATGACTCCATTATACTATTGATGCTTTATGTTGATGACATGCTTTATTGCTTGTAAGAGTTTGCATGAGATTGCTAAGTTAAAATAGGAATTGAGGATGGAATTTAAGATGAAAGATTTAGGAGCAAAGAAAATCTTGGGTATGGAAATTCAAAGAGAGACGCAACGGGAAGTTGTGGTTGACCCAAAAAGGGTATATTGAGAAGGTATTGACCAAATTCAATATAAAGGAGGCTAAGGCAGTGAGCACACCACTAGTTCAACACTTCAAACTATCTCTTCAACATTGTCCAAAGACGGAGGAAGAACGTGAGGAGATGATACATATACCATATGCCAGTGCAGTTTGATGTCTTATGTATGCTACGGTATGCACCAGACCGGACTTATCTCAAGCAATTAGTGTTGTGAGCAAATTTATGGCTAATTCGGGGAAGGAGCATTGGAATGCTGTAAAGTAGATTATGCGCTACTTGAACGGTACCCAAGATATAGGTTTACTATTTCAAAATGGTTTGAAAGGAGACAAAGTGGTTGGGTATGTAGATTCAGATTTTGCGGGTGACCTTGACAAAAGAAAATCTACTACGGGATATATTTTCGTTCTTGGTCAAGGCCCTATTAGTTGGAGATCAACATTACAAGATATGGTGGCTCTATCTACTACAGAAGCAGAGTACATGGCAACAGTAGAGGCAGCCAAGGAAGTTGTATGGTTGAGAGGACTGGTTCAAGATCTTGGAATTGATCAGAAGAACATTTATGCTCACTGTGACAGTCAGAGTGCTATATGTCTTGCAAAGGATCCAGTATACCACTCAAGGACTAAGCACATAGATGTGCAGTATCACAGGCCCAGAGATTTTGTAGCAAATGGAGTGACATTTAGTTGGAGAAGATTTTTTCCCAAATGAACATAGCAGACATGATGACCAAGCCATTGCTAAGGGAGAGGTTCAGGCATTGCCTGAATCTTTCAAACATACAACAATGCTAAGTTGTGAAGGCCCCAGGAAGAGGGGGTATTCTAGATAGAGAAATGGAGCAGGGTGAAGAAGAGAGTTGAAGAATTTTTTTTCTTTTTGAGTCAAGGTGGAGAATGTTGGAATTGACTCAAAAATAAAGTTAGTTACAGAAAGTGGCTATTAGTGCATGGTAACCATAAAGTTAGTTACAGAAAGTGGCTATTAGTGCATAATAACCACAAAGCCAGTTATAAAAGAAGTGGATATCTTGTATCTTCTACTTCTTCTTCTTCTACAATTTTAATGAAAAATCTCTCTCTGGAGTGTGTGCTCTTCCCGTGAACGTAGGAGGATTTTATCCGAACCACGTAAATTCTTGTGTCTTCATCTCTATTTGCTTGAATTTTTGTTTACTTTGCCATTTTGTGTGTTCTCCATTTTTCTTAACGGGTTGATTTAGGATACGTGATCCAACGCTTCTACACCAATAGCATGTACGGAGGCTTTCTTTCTACCAGTCCATATCAATGTGATACTACCGAAACACATTTTTTGGTAGTAAACAAAAAAGAAAGTTCATTAATAAGAAGAAAAGTACATGCTGAATACAAAAGGGATGAGAAATCATCTAACGAAAAGAAAAAAGCAAGCATAACATAACTCTTTCAACCTTTTATATACTACTGAAACATGTGATACAATCTGATGAGAAAGTAATCTTTATCTTCACTCCTTATTTATTATATCCATAGCCTTAAAACCAATCTGTATAGTACCATTTTGCACAACCAAATGGATATTTTGATCCTTAAATAAGATCTAAATAGGTTGGATAATTGGGTTACTTAAAAAAGAACTGCAAAAGCAACTTGGGCACTAATCACTAATCATAATCAAAAGGGAAAAAAAGAAAAAGGAAAAAAAAAAGAAAAGGAAAAGCCATACATAGCACAAAATCTTCTTAATAGTTTGAACAGGAGCAGAAAAATAAATACAGTAAGGAATAAGGATAGAGCATAGAAGGATTGACCATTATTATACTTGAAAAAATGGGATTCCTAGCTGCTGTATATTGTGAAGGGGGGAAAGAACTGACCGGATATTGATCGTAAATCGAACCCTTTCGGCCTTTTCCAGGAGTCATTAGTGGATGGCTGTGCTCCTTCTCAACTTTTGAAATGACCCATTTTCCAGAACTCAGCTTCCTCACAGCAATCATTGCTTTGCAACCAACTCTCGTGGGTGCCCGTGGCTTTGTTCCTTTTCTGCAGCGCTTATCAGGTAATCTGAAACCCTCTTTGTTACATACAAATGCTCGACCAATAACTGACTTGTCACGCCTCGAACGACATAGCTTGCTCCAGCGAGTGATGAAACCCACACGCATAGCATACGCACTATAAAATGCATGTGCAGCTGCTTCAGACTCGAACTCCATACCCACCTCGGGTTCCAAATTCGGTTCCCCTTGAATTATAACCAACTCCCTCCCAGAAGAATTTTCAGTCATTTTATCCTGATCCCGAGGAGGTCCCCCTTCAGAAGAACTATATAATGTTTCACATTTGTGACCAGCTCGAACCTCCATATCAATTGAATTCTCTAATGTCTCACCATCAGCACCCACATGGAGTCCAAAATCCACTGTTACAGTCCATAGCATGCCCGATTATATTCTATACGACTATACCCATGTTAAATTCAAAAAACTAAGACTAAACGAATAATATGCATAGTTTTTCATGATAACTCTGCTTAACAGAAACTATGACAGCAGGCATCCAAGAATTATTCAAATGGCTTCTATAAGATCAATCAAATAAAAAATAATTCAGAAAGGAAGAAATTCATCTGTTGATCAGGCAGCTTTATAGTGGGCAATTTTCTTGCAAATGTAAATTCTCAATTTCTTTGTAGGGCATGAACAATTTGCAGAATTTTCTCTCTTTTTGGGTCGATAACGAGTTTCAGATTTACGTGATGAAACAAGTAAGACAAAGAGTTTCTCGTAGCTCTACAATTAAATTGGAAGAAGAAGAAGAAGAAGAAGCACTTACTTAAATGGTCTTCCGTCCTTGAAGATCCAGAACTAAGAGATGGCGAACATAGACAAGTCGAACAATTCTTGACGATCAAGATTCAAGACTTAAAGAGAAGACGAACATGAACATATCGAACTAGTAATAACTGATTCGAGCTGGAATTCTTTAGTCTAGGGCTCGATGGCCTTCGATCATAGTCATAGAGCCATAGAGGTTGAGGCTTTTGAGTGGACTTATATTTTATTTTATTTTATTTGGGCAAATTACAAAGACGCCTATAAGTAAGGGTGGCCACGACCCGAATTTGAAAGCTCGTTTGTTAATTGTTAATCGAGTTAAGCTCGACCTCACTGAAGCTCGGCTTGTGAGATTTGCGAGCTTAATATAATAAATAAATAATTTTTTTATTATATATATATATATATACATATACATATACATATAAATATAAATATATAATAATAATAAATAATTTTTATTATATAATAATGTTTTTATTTTTTATATATAATGGTAAATAATTTTTATAATTCTTATTTTTTGTATGTAAAATAAAAAATATTTTTTTATATATATTTTTTTTAATTTTTAGAAAAAAACTTGGCTTGTAGTCGATTTCGAACTTGTGAGCTTTAAACGGAGTTAAGCTTAAACTCAAATTGAGCTTGAGCCTAACACAGTTTCAGTGAGTCGAACTCAAATAGCCAAGTATTAAGCTCGACTTGACTCGAATCCACCCCTAGGGGCGTTTGTTTGTTTGTTACTTTTTTTTTGTACGAAAAGTGCATTAAATTATCAAAATGCCTACCTATTTTTTTATTTTCTTTATTTTTGGCTATTTTCTCATAAACTCTAATTAACTAAAAATACCTCTATTTTCTCCAAATAAAATTGATTAAAATAAGGGAAAATTCCCAAACAGTACTTTGTATTTTGGCTCAGGTGACAATTTGGTCCCCGAACTTTAAAATGCGATAACCCAGTACCCAAACTTTTGAAATGCGACAATCTAGTACCTACTGTTAATGGACTGTCAATTATGTATATAACGTGGCCTCACGTGCGATTTATGACTTTTGAAAATGTCAATTTTTTATGAAGGCATGAAAAATTACCTTTAGAAATAAAACACTTTTTTTATCAGCAAAAATACTTTTATTAATAACAAAGAAATATTGAATTACAATAGTTATAGGTTGTAGTAATTCATTAACCCAATCTACAAACACATACAAATAGTTACAGTTTTGCCCAATACAAGGTAGATCTATTTGCCCTTGTTTTGCTAGGGTATCCACCAACCCATTTGTAGTCCTTTTGATCCAACCAAAATGAAAGTTGAACCTCCTTGCAAGTATGTCAATTTCTCTGTAGATAAATTTGAGCTTCCAAGGTGCTGATGTGATGTTTTTAGCCCAAGAAATGAATAGTAGTGAGTCTCCTTATTTCTAAATGTTGTTCCAATATACTCAACCATCTTTAAACCTTGAAATAGAGTCAGAGATTCAACCTGTATTGAGTCACCAATACCTATTGGTCCTTAGAAGAGTGCAACGACTTCACTTAGATGATTTCTAATCACACCCCATATACCTGCCCTTCCCGGGTTATCAAAGGAACTCCCATCAAAGTTTAGTTTTAGTTTGTTCAGTGCAGGTGGCTTCCATTCCACTCTCACAACTTTGTTGGGTACATCTGCTTGTGCTACTTCAGTCCATTTTCTTAGAATGTCATTCGTAGAAAAGTTTTGAATAGTTCCATGGTCATCACCCAATGTTTAGTTTTGATTTTTATGACTTCGATGACTTCCTCATTTGATTTACTTTTTTTCAGAGAAGAGTCTTTGATTTTGGAAATAAAACACATTATTCATAATCTTCTTCATCAAGAAGATGAAACAGAGCCCAATCTCTCTGTCACAAACACCAAAATCCTTGCAATAGAGCCCAAACTCTCTATTACAAACACTTGTGACGACTTTACCTTTCTCGCAAAGTCATTGTAAGTCTTTTCCATGAACAAAAAATTCTAGGTTTTGTACAACTTATTTTATTTTTAACTTAACACAGTAATATTTTATTCCTATAGGTGAAAGAGAGGAGAAGAACTTGAAGCTTTGTCTTCATACTTGAGAGAGAGAGAGAGAGGGAGAGAGAGAGAGATCAATGATGGTGGCCAGAAACTTTTTTCTTTTTCCATTTTTCGAATAAGACAATTATAGTAGTTAAAGGAAAACTTTTCTCCCAAAAATTTCTTTGGTTTTGGTTTGAAGATAACGAAATATTCAGAGGAGAAGAAAGACAAAAGTGCCGTCGCAAGGATGAAAATTTTGACGGTTGGTTCTAATTTAGTGGATGGTTGATAAAGAAAATTAGATGACACTTGAAGGGCATTTGTGTCTTTTCACATGCTACTTAACAGCTGGTACTAGATTGTTGCGTTTCAAAAGCTCGGGTACTGGATTGTCGCATTTTAAAGTTCGGGGACCAAATTGTCACTTAAGCCAAAGTATAGGGTATTGATCGGGAATTTTCCCTTACACAATAAGAATCAAATGAATCATTTCAATGTCATAAAAAAAAAACATTTTTTTTCTTAAATTTTGACTCATTTCACTTACATGAATGACTCTCTTAATCTTAAAATATAAAAAAGCATCCACTTCCTTCTCCAATAAATCAAGAAAAACTAAACGATCCATTTCTTTTGAATATTGAATCTAGGCAAAAATTTGCAAAGATATATTGGAGCAATCGATAGGGCTTTAATGTTATATTTAGAAAACTAATCAAATCATTAATCATTAAAATAAATAACAAAATGGTACTTTACATATTTAAAAATTTTTAAACAATTGAATGAGAATCTTTTTCATAGTTAATTGATGGAACTATAATGGAGATGGTCTTTGTTGCAAATTGAAAGTTTAGGAAGGTCTTTATCACGAATGAAAGTTTAGGGGGTATTTTTGTCACTAACTCCATAATACAGAGGTCTTTGTAATTTACCCTATTTTATTTGTAGTTGAAAAAACCCATCTAACCACTCACAAAAATTTGGGCTTGAGCGTTGAGCCTAGTATCTATGTAGCTTATATTTGTTTATATCAATATCAATATAAATACATTAAGTTGGAATGTGTACGAAAGAAGGCTTGAGAAGGCAAGAAATGGAATATAACAGTAAATTTTGCTTCTTTTCCTTTCAAATTACAAGAATGCCACTTTCTACCAACTCTCTCTCTTTTACTTTTTTTTTTTCTTTCAAATTACAAGAATGCTACTCTCTCTCCTACCCAAGGTTCAAAATATCGATACGCCCGATACGCCGGTAGGGGCATATTGGGCGAATTGATACACATTTTTGTGCCTTTTTATTTTTTCTTTTTGAAACCAATTCAGGGGGGCCGGTTTAGGGCTCCTCCACCCCTTGAACCGGTCAGACCCTCGATACACCCACTATAGGGGCGTATCGGAAGGGTCTCGGAATGATACGTATCAGCCGATACGTGTTGATACTTTTAACCTTGCTCCTAACAACTCTCTCTTTTTTTCTTACAAGTTACAAGAATGCCACTCTCTCTTTTGTTTTTTTTTTCAAATTACAAGAATGCCATTCTCTCCTACCAACTCTCTCTCACTCTCTCTCTCTTTTTCCTTACAAATTACAAGAATGTCACTCTCTCCTATCAATTATCTCTCTCTCCTTATAAATTACAATAATATCATTCTTTCACTTACCATCTCTCTCCTTATAAATTACAAGAATGCCACTCTCTCTCTCCAACTGAGGGAGATCTCAGCTTGGCATCTCGGCTGCTAGGGGACTTGCAATCAAAGGTAGTCAAGCTCGAGCCGAGTCGAGCTTGAACTTCTGAGCTCGATCTCAAGTCTCTAATTTGAATCAAGCTCGAGCTAGACGACACCTCGACTACTGAGGGAGACCTTGGCTCAGCACCTCGACAATTGAGGGAGACCTCAGTTCGACACCTCGTCAACTAAGGGAGACCTCATCTTGACACCTCGCCTGCTAGGAAAACCTCAACTCGACACTTCAGCAACTGAGGGAGACTTCGACTATTGAGGGAGACCTTGGATTGGAACCTCGGTTGCTAGGGAGACCTGCAATCAAAGGTCTCACGAGCCTAATCAAGTGTGTACATAAGGTGTCACCTCAGTCATTGAAGGAGATCTTGGCTCAACACCTCGACAACTGAGGGAGACCTCAGCTCGGCGCCTTGTCAAGTAAGGGAGACCTCAGCTTGGCACCTTATCAACTAAGGGAGACCTCAACTCGACACCTCGCCTGTGAGGGAAACCTCAGCTCGACACTTCAGCAGCTGAGGGAGACCTCGGTTTGGCACCTTGACAATTGAGGGAGACCTTGGCTTGGAACCTCGACTGCTTGTAAGACCTACAATCAAAGGTAGCTAAGCTCAAACTTTCGAGCTTTTGACTAGAGTCGAGCTCAAGCTCAAGCTCAAGTATCTAATTTGAATCGAGCTTGAGCCTGATAGTTTATGAGCGAGCCCCTACGTACTGCTAGTCTATATATTAAAATGGAATTGTGTGGCATGGCATTTATCTTTTTTATTGTCCTTTTTGTCCTCTACTTTTTTCTATAAGAAATCAGATTTAGTGCTCACAACATTGCACTCACATTGTTATCATGGTCCTTTTCACTCGTGCATTGGAAACATCTCTCCCTGAATAAAAAGATAGTATGGAGATATTATCAATACATGGCTGAAAAGGGTTGTGAGAACAGTGTGGGCACAATTTTGTGAGAACTGAATCCCCTTCTTTTTTTTTAATTATACATAATCTACATCATCTTTAAGATTTTCATCTATTCTCATTAACTCTCTCTTCTCTTTTTCATTAACTTATTTGATTATCTCCCCCATTAATCATGCTATTAACTCTTGCTCCTAAAATAATGCATTTCATTAATTCTCTCTCATCTCGATTACTTCATTAAATTGCTTAAAATTCATTGACTATTTTTTTCTTCTTTTTTGATTTTTTTTTATTTGAAAAAATGGATAATAAACAACACACTTTGCTTAGAGGCGATCATTCCAATATTACCAAATTTTAGGGCCAAGCCTAGGCCTAATGTTTCAAGCTTGGATGAGGCTTGGCCCAGTGCACAAACAAATAAGCTTGGATGAGGGTTGGACATAGAGGACTTTTTGCTTCAATTTCATTTAACAAAGCCTATGCATCGCATAATTCCCAACTAGAAATTTAT